TGTGTTTTAGGTTCCCCTCATATGAGCATCTGAAGGCGTTTTGGAACTTGATCGAGGCAGCAACAGCCAAAATGGTCAGGGTCACCAGAGCAAAGAAAACCGACGTCATGAGTACAACAACTGAAACCCCTTTTACCAGACCAACTGTAAGTTACACACACACACACACACAATGAGAATGCTGGTTTTGAACTAACATTTAAATAATTTTCTGTCCAGAAACTGCTGCCAATAGATGAGCTTTTTCTTTTCCTCTCCTACCTGTCTACTGGATGTACCCAGAGGGAACTGGGCCATCGATTTAACATCCACAGAGCAACAGTCAGCCGCATTATTGTGACATGGGCCAACTTCCTGTACTGCTTATTGGGCTCAATTTGTGTGTGGATGTCTCCTGCAGCTGTGAGTTCCAGTCTTCCACAGGATTTTGATGGCCGCTACAGTGACACACAAGTTATCCTGGACTGTACAGAACTACGGTGTCAAACACCTTCATCCCTGCTCCTCCAGAGTGAAGTCTTCTCCACCTACAAATCCCACTGTACCTTTAAGGCCATGGTGGGCATGTCTCCTCACGGAGCCCTGACATTTGTGTCAGCACTGTTTGAGGGTTCCATGAGTGACAAGGAAGTGTTCCGTCAATCAGGGATTACATCACTCTTGACACTGGACATGGCCATCATGGTGGACAAGGGATTCTTGGTGGATGATCTCGTACCTGGGACTGTTCATCGTCCTGCCTTCCTCTCCAAGAGGGCCCAAATGTCAGAGGTCGACGTTTTGAAGACCCAGTCCATTGCCCGTTTGAGGGTGCATGTTGAGAGGTTAATAAGAAGAGTTAAAGAAAATAAACTCTTTGATTCCACTATCCCTCTCTCCATTGCAGGAAGCATAAACCAAATTTTTACAGTTGCCTGTCTCCTGTCAAATTACCAAAATGGACCTTTGGTCAGGAAATGGAGATATGAAGTTTGACAGAAAAGCTGATGGCACAGTCTTGAAGAAACAGAAAATGCTGTCATTTACTTACATTGACATTGTCTTACATTTGTAAATAGATATTCATGATGGAAATATTTTGAAACAAATTTGTACATTTGATTTGATCAAACTCCTAATTTAGACATTTCTGCAGGTAAACATAGAAAAAATATCTGTCTACTTTGTGTTTGATTGAATCCATCACATTAGTGTCTGCATAAATTCTTTGAATAAGAATATCTTCCTCAGCTGAGACAACAAAATCACACCAGTTCATCCCAGTTATTAGCATCTGCCCCTGAACCTGCCAATAGTAAACATGAGTTTTTTTTAGTTTATTCACCATGTCCCAGGTGACCTCCATACTTTTAAGGTGTAGCTGTTGTGGTTCAGAACAAACAAACATGCTTTTTGATGGCTGTAGGTGGTAGTTCTTAAGAGGCAGAGATGGGCGGGGTGGTGCAGCATGGAAGGACATGTCTCTCTTTGCTGTTGCTGGCTGTTGGTAGGACAGAGGACTTCCAGCCTGAACTTTGCCAAGGGCAGAGTCAACAAGGGGAAATTCATGGCTGATTCCCATGCTGCAGATCATTGGTGCATCAGCTGCTGCAAAATCTTCATACACCTCGGAAACCTGGGAAAGTGAAAACAATTATTTCAATAAAATGTAAAATACATGTATATCAACTAATTTTAAGCCCTCAAAAATTCTACACTTTACAAAGAGACAGCACTTGAAAATAAAATTATTCAATACACCGGTAAGTCTACAACTCTTTGTTAGTACATTGTAGCCTACTGTTAATTTCATTTTTATTTATCAGTAATTTAAATACAACTACAAGGCACACTGTCCTGCATGTTTGAGATTTGTCCCTGCTTAAACACAGCTCATTTCAGTTGGTAACTGATTAACAACTGTATCAGCTGTGTTAATGCAGGGAAATCTATAAAGCATGCAGAGCAGTGTGCCTTGAGGACCAGGGTTGAGAAACACTGTTGTAATACATCAGAATTTTTATTGATTTTTTTTTACCTTACACCCTCTGTTGTTGCTCCACTCTTCGGTTTAGCAGACAGCACAGTCATCTTGTCCACGGGGCCAGGTTTTATACCCTATTCAGTTATCCATGACACAGTTACAAGTTATACGGCAAGAAAATGTAATAAATTGAGTCTATTATTGAAGAGAAAACTTACTAAAGTTCTGGGCTTGTGCCACTGCTGTTCTCCTTCTGGACAGCTTAGTACAGGGGGGACCACTGACAGTTTCAGCTCAGAATAATGTGCTGACTGGAACAGCAAAGCCACACAGTGGTTGCATAATGCTGCACCAGCAACACACGTACAGCTGTGGTGAATCAGCTCCACAGGACACGAGTCTTTCAGGACCACCTGCATAAGAATGTCATAGTAAGAACTTATTATCTTAGCTTGGTCACTCATCAGCCATTCTTTCATGATGCAATCTTGCTTCCCAAATATTTTTTTATAACTAATGTCATAGAACCATAGTATCATGTTATGTGATTATATATTTAGTTTGGAGTATGTTCTATGAAGGTCAAGAGTAGTGTAATACAATTATCACAAGATTACATCTTAAATGAATGGATGAGATAAAGATAACTTGATTTCAAAACACTTTTAACCCAGAGGAGACCCGCTAGGTAAAAATACCTGGATAATGTTACAGAGACTGTGAGTGTATTCTTTAGATTTAAGTAATCTAAAGAATTACTTAACACTAACACTTAATATTAACACTCACGTGTTAATATTCATCAAATAGCCAATTCCATTTTATTTTTATTTAAGAATTAATTACCACCTTAGCTAAATCCCCATTAACATTAGGAACGTCGGGTTACTGAACCAACAATCTTAAAACTGTCATCTGAACAATCCTATCTTCACCCTACACTTAAACTGTGAGGTTTTTCATTTTTCTTCATGGACCTGTGACACAGAGCCCTGACAACGACTTCACCTGTGTCCTGATTTTTGCTAGAAACTGAGAAGAGCAGAATGTTAGTAGAATGATCACAAAATATGAGCCTTTTGTTTAAGTGTGGAAAACCTGTTTCTATAACGTGAGTATACACAAAAATGGTCGTGTTGCTAATAGCCTAACGTTAGCTGCAAACAGTTAGCAACATCACAACGATCAAACTAACGTTACTTACCCTCGTAGTTGTGCAGGTAACTTGAGATATACAATTTAAATCCCTTGTTACGTTTGCTTGTCGGAGCAGGGGACCAGCCATCAACAATACGATGAACATCGCTGATATTTATCTTGGGCAGCTCTTGTAAACATCTAGAAAACGCCATTTTCACCGAGACCGGGGATTAGACCGGAAACTGGAATGCCGACATCCGGTCAAAGGGGAAGTGATTCAGGACGCATGTGCACAGAGCCTATTCCTTGCATTTTTAGGCATATATCTTCCATTGTCAAAAATATTTTTAAGGAAGTAATAATGTACGTAAACATACAGGTGATATAAATTATAATTCAGAAATGTTTTTGCATAAAAAATGGTTTGTGAAATGTCAGAACATTTGATCGTAAAATTGAAAACAAAATGTGCAGGATGTTCAGTTCAGCTGCTGTAACGAACACTCGTTTATTAATTATTCACTCACGTCTGACTTGAGCCCATTTGGTTGTGATGGAGTCATCAGAACATCTGGTTCTTTATATCTGCATGTGAATCTGTACAGATGTGAGCCAGTCACACAATCGACAAACACAGCTGCTTATCTTTGTTTAAATTCAATGTGCACAGCTATTTAAAACTGCCATTTTAAGGTAAAATATTATGTTTAGCAGATTTTTTTAAAAATCACAACTTCCCCATAATTCAAAGGATATCCCTTTTTTTAATTAATTGATTCAAGTTTTGGATGTAGAAAAACTAAATACAAACATTATTCTGGTTTCACAACTTTTCTGTTGTAGCTTTACTTAAATGTGACTCGAGCCCCGTGTACAGGGGACTGGCTTTTATTGTTGCAGCCTTCTATCCACACATGAACGGCCTTTCTAGAAACTGCCGTGTTTACAATGATATTTGGAAGCAAATGAAAGATGAGCTTGCATGTGCATAAAGGCCTCAGACATCTGGCTCATAGTCATTGTGAAATCTGTCCTCTCATTTGTTGCAGCTCGGCGAGCAACAGAATCATTGGAGCCAAAGACCACGCTTCCATCCAGCTCAACATTGCTGAGGTAAAGATCAAATAATATATGAGCATGCATCACGATATCAAATAATGTAGCTCCACCATCGAACCACAGGTGGTTCTTGAACAGTGAACACTGCTTCAGCTGAAGGTCGTCTTTTATTTATACCTCCATTTATTGCAGTTTAAGAGGTGATTGCTTATTTCTTTATTAACCTTTATTTAACCAGACAAATCCCATTGAGATCACAGATCTCTTGCAAGCGAGGCCTGGGCTGGGCCTGAAGGCAGCCTAATATGCATGTTTTTTTGTTTGTGGGAGGAAACTGGAGTATCCGGACAAAACCCACGCAAGCACGAGAAGAACTTAAAGGGAGTTTTCCTTCCCACTGTTGCCACTGTGCTTGCTCAGGATGGGAGACTGTAACGAAGCCAAGATTCATCTTGTCTGCTGGATTCTTTAGAAAGAGAACTTTACTAATTGTCTTTTATGTGAATGTTTCTGTAAAGTGCCCTGAGACAACTTTGTTGTGATGTGGCGCTATATAAATAAACTGAATTGAATTGAGCCTGCAAACTCCACACATAAAGACCCCAGGTCCAAATGGGGATTGAACCCAGGACCTTCTTGCTATGAGCCAAAAGTGCTAACCACTGAACCGTTGTGTTGCCATTTTTTTCTGTTCTCCATTAGAGCTGGTCAATAATTCGATATCGATATATCTCGCGATATTCTTTTATTCAATAACGATGATATGAGTTTTAAGCACATTTTTGATATTAAGATAGTATTACAGCGTTTCACTGACACATTTCTTTTTCTGTTCGGGTTGAAGCGGCCACTTCAGTTTCAACCCGGACAGAAAAAGGTGCGACACAACTACCTAAGTGCGTGGTGACGTAATGTTACGCAGAGCTCAAGTCCAGAAGGCGTTAGTGGTAGCAGGCTAAGCTAGGCTAATCTCCAACGCGCGTTAAGTTTTCTCTTCAAAAAGAGTTCCATGATCGTCAGAATGTGACTGAACAACTTTCACAAGTGAAGAGAAGCAGATGACATCACTGATAAGAGAGGAAAGACTAATTTGCTGGTTTGGAAGTGGTTCATCTTTCTAAGATCCAATAAACTGCAGGTTTCAGTCAGTGTGCTGCAAAATGTGACGGAGAGTCGTTCTAACTCGTGGTTGGAACATCGAACTTGTTCCACCTGACACAAGATGATGAGTCACAAGATGAAGCACAATAAAAGTTTGAGCCAACGTGTCCCTGAAACACCCCCAGCGCTTCATGTTCTGTTTTTATCATTAATTCATTCATTTAAAATAAAACAAATTCATCAGAAAGAAAAAAAAACATTGAATGAAAAGGTTGAAGAAAGAAGAAAAAATTCTTATCTGCCCCTAATTTAAAAAATATAAAATAACTAGAAACAAACAACAAATTTGACTTGAACAATCTCCAAACTGAAATCAAAAAAACTTCAGGTATCCTTCACCTGGTACTTAACCTTCCCAACAACTTTAACGTAATCATCTTTTTAAACATATAAATTGTTTTAGAAATGTTTATGGTGATATCAAGACAATTCATAACCCTGTTCCCTGAATTACAACACAGCTCCTTCACACCAGTTCTAAATGGAGGTTTTATAAACATTTACATTCCCTTAAGTTATATTGACTCCTTTTTTTACATTTATTTTTTTACAAATTTTAATTGAAGATTTGGGGCTAATATTTTTATGAGCTTTATACATGACTTGTAAAATACTATATTCAATCAAATCATAACATTTTAATAATTTCAATTGATGAAATAATATATTTGTTGGGTGACCATAGCACTTCATAATACTAATAATTCTTATAGCTCTTTTTTGTAAAAATAAAAATAGTGTTTGTTTTGTATGTTTTTCCCCAAACTTCATTACAACAGATTAAATATGGAACAATCATTACATTATACAATATATACAAAGCTGTCATTCAAAAACTCTTTTACTTTATACAGTAATGCAACTGATTATTTTTATTTTTAAGTATTTTACATGAGATTTCCACGTCAGCTTCTCATCAATAACGACACCCAAAATTTTATTTCATTAACAACAAATTTCAATGCTGTCAATTTTAAAGTTGTTGTTTAAAGTCAAAACCATTAATATTGACAAAGTTAAGAATTTTGTTTGACAGTGATTTCAATTTTTTTGAAGGCTAAATACAAATTAAAGGTGAACATTAATTTATTTGTTTAGTTTGCAGTTTTTCTGAGGCTTCTATATTGTTTATCTATCGAATTATATCGTTATCGACCGAAATTAAGAAACATATCGTGATACAAGGTTTGGCCATATCGTCCAGCCCTATTCTCCATCTACACTCCACCCTTTATCTTGATCTAGATAATTGCCAAAGCAAATGGACCATTAAAATAAATTGGGGGGGGGTGGGGGGGGGGCTCTTTCAGTTTTTCTGATACTCCCTCAACATATGGAATGACCACTGGTCTGGGTTCCTCCTTTTCACCTGATGGCTGACTGGAGTCCAGGAGAAACATCAGGTGAAAAGCGGGAACCCAGACAGGTGGTTATTCCATATGTTGAGGGATTATCAGAGAAACTGAGACGTTTATTTTCTAAACACAACGTCCCAGTGGCTTTTAAACCCCAAAATACATTAAAGACTGGTTCATCCCAAAGATCCAGTCCCCCGGCACAAACAGAGTAATATTGTGTATGTTGTTCAGTGTCAAGAGAGTGATCAGTCTTACATCGGGGAAACTAAACAGCCACTGGCCAAAAGGATGGCCCAGCACAGAAAATCAACATCATCAGGCCAGGACTCAGAGGTCTACACTCATCTCCAGGTCAGAGGTCACTCTTTCAGGGATGAAGATGTGCACATCCTGGACAGAGAGGAACGATGGTTTGAGAGAGGAGTAAAGGAGGCCATCTTTGTGAAAAGAAATCGTCCATTGTTAAACAGGGGTGGAGCCTCCAGGTTCAACTGTCCCCCTCTTACAATGCTGTGATTGCTAGTATCACTCAGCCTCCTGTGAATAGTAAATAGCCATCAGGTGCTAATGATCCATTGTTAGGCTGATGGTCCTTCTTGAGCATGTGATCAGCTGGTTTTGGTTGTCAGCAGCAAACTTTTTTTCGATTTGTCCCGAAGGTAAACACCCCTTGTCTGTGAAGCTGCTCTGCAGCTGCTCAGGGTGGACGCTGGAGTACGAAGTCTGATCCCTCTGCGTACAGCACACACGGGCTTACGTGGGTGTACATTGGTTGCTTAAGTTCGACTCCACTGCTCTCATCTTATTGATTCTTCTCAGGCGTAGGTGATTTTCCACTGTGACTTGTTTCTCCACTCTATGAGCGGTATCGTAATGGGTCGTTGTGTTCGAGCCACTCTGTCCGTTGTGGTCCTTAATTGCCCCATAAACGGATGTGAATTTTGTTAGCTTATCCCAGCACTGCTTATAAATCCAGGTGTAACCATGCTGTGCCATCATCTCCAATTTCTGTAAATGTACTTTTTTTTTGTGGCACTGTCAGTCAACACGATGAGGAAGTGGATGTTCAGATAGGCATGTCTTCCAGTGATTACTGGTCAGCAGAGCTACAACAGCTTCTGTCTGTTTACGTTAATATCGTCACCTCGGTGCAGTCTGTTTGGAACCTCAAACAAGGTGGTCCCATAAACCGGGCTGAGTGGGGGTGGGTACTTGCAGTGGGCAGACCTTTGGTAACTGGTGCGGTGTGGAACCAAAGAGAGTTGAGACAGTGGCAAAGTGCCAAAAGAGATCTGAGTGGTCAGCTGCAGATATTTTCAGGGCAACTTTAAGCAGTGATCTAGGGTATTTTGTGTGCTGAAAAGTTTTGTTCCCACAATGCTTTTGTGTTTTTCAGGTTGACAAGGTGACTGGTCGCTTCAATGGTCAGTTCAAGACCTACGCTATCTGTGGACCAATTCGACGGATGGTAAGAACATCTGTGGGACATGTCTGCACAACTGTGTTCAGATAATGTTGGATTCCTTATGTAAACCTTAGAAACACCACATAACTTTAGTCAGAAAATCTGAACAGCCTCTATTTTCAAGAAGGGGTCTCTGCAGGCAAATTCGGAAGGCGTATCTGGGCGCTCATATCTGATTGGACTATAGGAAAGTGGGCGTATCTGGGCGGTCATATCTGATTGGTCGATAGGAAAATGGGCGTTTCTGTCCGGCCGGATCTGATTGGACGATATAAAAATGGGCGTGTCTGGACGGCCACATCTGATTGGACGATAGAAAAATGGGCGTGTCTGGACGGCCACATCTGATTGGACGATAGGAAAAAAAAGGCTGAACGATAGAAAAAAAAAGGCTGAACGATAAAATGCCGTAACCACAGACACATGATGTCTAAAAACAAGGCGTTATTGGCAGATTGTGTTAACCACAGGCATATTATGTCTATGGTGTTAACCGGTTCGACATTAGCGGCGTCTCGGTTCGACATCGCTCCAGTATACTGCCGCGGCGTCTCCATAACTTCTTTTTTCGACTCTCTTAACACAGAACTTCCGGTTACATTTCAAAATAAGAGCAACATAACTGGGTAGTGGGGAGAGCTAAATGTTAGGTTTTTTTTTAATACCTAGCCATAACATTAAAAAAACAAATTCCATTTTGGTTGTTGAAAAATGTGAACAAAGTTACAATTGATTCATAAAGAGAGAAAAATATTAATGATACTTAAACTGGCCTTGGGACAAAGGAGGTTTCCTTTAACTTCACATTTTCTTGTTCAACCTGCAGTCACTGCAGATGAGTGATTGTCAGTTTCTGTAAGATTTCTGCAACTGGAGCAGGTATTTCTGTTTACTGGTTAACTTCCTCAGCTGTCTCACATTTTAAATGTCAACCCTACTCCATGTTTCAGTAGAAAACCAGCACATTTAGGAGTCAGTACATAACCAGACTTTTGGCCCTCACACCTGTACCCAGTTGCTCATGCTGCATGATGAGATCAGATTTATCCATATTTTAGAAATTACATTTAGCTTAGTCGACAAAACAATACAAATGAAGACTGTCTGTCTTAAAAAAACCTCTTGGTTTTGCAGTAAGCAGCCTGATTTCAAACTGACATCTTGGCCAAAGGTAAAATAAAAATCTTTGTGTTCTCAGAAAAGTTGTTTCAGGACCTCCAATAAACTTATGTACACATCAAAGCACACAAGACAGATTCAGGAATTGTCTTTGTTTTCCAGATTTCACATTTGTTATTACCTTAAAACATACTCAGACAACATTTGATGCATCATTGAATTTTTTTTATTGTTTATTGGGACATCCATTTTTAGAAGTCATCGTAGCATCTGTTGGAAACACAAAACATAGTACAGTTAGGGTGTTGCTAGTTGTTACTTATTGTAATGTGTGTGCATCACAGTACAGAAGCTAGACTACTAACCCTGCATCCATGGCACAAAAGTGGGTGCAGTACCCAGGAGTAATGGCTTCACTGTAGAAGGCCCTCAGCTCTCCTCTTTTGCCACTGCCCCAGAAACCTGCACCACAATCTTTAAATTCTTCTCCACAGCTGAAGCATACAGAAATGACATAAGGCTTTCTGTGCTCAGCCTGAAATTCTTTAGAATATTTCCTCCAGTTCACAACACCTGAAGTTGTAATAAAAATATAATTAGATCACCAAGCACAACATTTTTACAAAATAGCAGTTCTGCACGACCTGGGCTGTTTTCCTTCCCCAATCTATTCAAAATTAAT